TTTTGTATTTCCCTTCTTCTGTGGTCAATCCATTTTAATGTGGCCATTCTCCTTGAAAAGGTAACACTTAAATTTACTAGAGGATTTTGATTTTGAACGCAAGCTCCTATTTCCATTACCCCTCTCATGTGGTCTTCCCCTACTTGCAAACAGACCTAAACCAAAACCCACTTCCATAAAAACCTTTCTTTTCAATTCTTTGGACATAAGGGCATCTTTCACATCATTAACAAAAATTGTAGTTTTACCATATACCATAGTATCTACAAAATTCTCATATAAACCAGGTAGTGAACAGAGTAAAATTAGGGTTTGATCTTCATCATTTATTTTAACCTCAACTCCTTGAAGATCAAGAATAATACGGTTAAATGTGTCAAGATGATCCTTTACCTGAGTACTTTTGGACATCCGAAGGGTGTGAAGTCGTTGTTTCTGATATAGCCTGTGAGAGTGGAAAAGTGAAGTTAGGTGATGATGGGGTTTTAGCCATAAAGCGGAGCGAGATAGTGTAGATAAAATTATATGACGGTACTGTCAGGAAATTTGACTGTTGGTATGTTTCTGAACTAAAAACGAATTTAATTTCTCTTGGCACCTTAGTCAAGAATGGTTTAAAATATCATGGTGAATATGAGTGGGTGAAAGTAGGTGCTCTGGTGATGATGAAGGGAAAACTGCAGCATGGAATTTATTTTCTACAAGGAAGTTCAATAATGGGAACGGTGGCGGTATCCTAGTCCTTGGATAAAATGATGACATGACAAATTTGTGGCACCGTCGATTAGGTCACATGAGTGAGCAAGGGTTGTCTTTGCTGAACAAGAAGGGTTTATTTGGTGAGGATGTGACAGGTAAAATTCATATCAGTGAGGCTTGTGTAAAAGGGAAGCAACACAGGGTGAGGTTTAGCACCGTTCATCATACTTCAAAAGAAATTATGGAGTATGTTCAATCAGATTTATGGGGTCCCTCTCTGGTGAAATCGCAGGACGGTTGTTCTTAGGTTGTCACTTTCATAGATGATTATTCAAGAAAAGTCTAGTTGTACTTTCTGAAGATTAAAGATGATGTGTTTAGGAAGTTCAAGGAGTGTAAGACCATGGTTGAAAAACCGATGGGTAAACAGGTCAAGACTCTAAGAACTGATAATGGGTTGAAGTTCTGAAACGCTTCATTTGATGATTTCTGCAAGAAAGAAAGTATAGTGAGGCACCGCACTATACAACACACACCACACCAAAATGGGGTTGCAGAGCGCATGAACCAAACTCTCATGGCGTGTGCTAGGTGTATGCACATATTTGTTGGCTTATCTAAACAATTATGTGCTGAAGTAGTTAAAACTGCTAGCTATATGGTTAATAGATCTCTATCAACTGTAATTGACTTAAAGACTCCTCAAGAGGTATGGTCCGATAAACCCTCTGATTACTCTAATATAATAATATTTGGATGCCCTGCATATGCTCATATGAATGATAGTAAGCTGGAGCCGAGGGCGGTAAAATACATATCTCTAGGGTATGCCACATAAGTCAAAGGTTATCAACTGTGGTGTACAGAAGGTAAAAATCCATGTAAGTTTCTTATTAGCAGAGATGTAACCTTTGATAAATCTGCTATGCTTGATCAGAGTAGAGGTTGTGAAAGTATTGCAGGTACAAAAGATTGGGGTGCTGACCAGAATGTGGAGTTTGAGACTTTTGACAAAGTTGTGTTAGTGGAAAAGCAACAAGATAATACTATTGATCAATCTAATCAACCAGATCAGTCAAACCTCAAAGAAAACAAGTTGAGGAAGAAGTTGATAACACTGGGTGTCCTTGGGCTGCGTGGGGACACTTGCAGGATAGGAAGCTTTGAAATTACTGCCTCCACTTCCTCGGCTTCAGCGGTTGTGGCAGCGGGGATCTCGGCGGGATATTCTTTGTAGGACTCCACAGTGACATCAATCTCGCCGATGGTTTCCTCAGTGAATATGGTCTTCCGCTCTTCCTCTGTTCCAGCAGCAGTAGGCTCTACCGCTCCCGGCTGGTTAACGGGTGCGGCTTCCTCGCCTATTCCAGCAGCAGTTGGCTCACCTGTCCCCTGCTGGTCGAAGGGAACAGGTTCATTGCCAAGCGGACTTGGCAGTCTTGGTGACGCCTCCACCGTCGTTGGCCTCACTGGCGAAGGTCTCTCGGGTTGAGCGGTGGGTTCGCTTATGATGATCCCCTTCCGTAGCCTGGAGAGGGGGATCGTGTCTTCGCTTGCCTCTACATCCACCGCTTTCCCCTTTCTTTTCTCCTGCCTTGTCGTTCGCCGAAGGGGTGTTGGATTTTTTCGGAGAGCTTTCTTGACCCTCGGCTTATTGACAGGCGCTGGAGCAGGGTCTTCTTGCTTCTTTGACCTCTTTTCGCCAGCGGCCGCTCTTGGTGCTTTGCCTCCCTTATCTCTCCTGACTGCTTCTGCCCCAAATAGATCCTCCTCTATCTCCCGAGCGAAGCGGAGGGCTTCCCCTTCCTCATCGCTGGGAGCTTCATTGGAGACTGTCCTCTCAGAATCGGGCTCGGTCAGAGGTGTCACCTCATCTCTGATGATTTCCCCCCACCCCCCCCACAAACTTCATCTTCCTTTTTGGTGGAGGGGGCGCCGCCGCTTGTGCTTTCCTCTTTTTCTGCTTGGGGATGAGAGTGAACCCCTTGGACTCCAGCCAGTTTTTGTGGAAAGCCGCCAGAAGCAGTCGCTTCATTTGAAGTTCCGGGGCTGGAATGGGCAGGTCAACGCCCGTGCGCCGGCATAGTTCTGTGATCAAGGTCCCATGACCAAGTGTTTTTTATCCGCTTCTTCGATCCCAGATATCTATGCTGATGATCGCGCCCAAATCCACATCAGCAGTCTTCTCCAGAACTGAACGAAAGAAAATGAGGTAGTCAGGACGGATGTCAGTGGTATGTGCAGTGATCATTATTCTGCTCAGCGACCACTTCACCCATTCTTTTTTCTCTTCGTCCACCGACCCGAACTTTAAGTTCCACTTCTCGTATACAGGGGTGGTGGCGAAGGTCCTGTAAAGCGTCTGCAACTCAAGCGAGCTGCAGACCTCCGTTGCCTTCAACTTGTCCTGCATCTCCTTGATGGGGTAGTGGTGTTCCCAACCCAGGAGTCGGTTGATCTTCCTGGCTGAGCAGTCTACCCATCTCCCCCGAATGTAGACATTCTTTAGACTCTCAGTCTGGTTCAAATTAGCGTAAAAATCCCTCACCAGCGATACATCCACTGGATCACTGGGGTTTCTGATCAACCATGACAGACCTCGCTCCTCCAGCCAGTCAGAGAGCGGACCTGTGATCTTCTCGGGGTCAAATCCTCTCTCGTAGAGGATCCCCATCGCCTTCATGCGCTCATAAGCCGTTGCTGCATCAATGTTGAAAAAATGAAGTTCATCAAACTGTTTGGATCTCAACATATCTTTTGTACCATCGGCGGCATTCTTCATAGATGTTTCTCCTCTGAATGCCTTCATGTTTCTCAGCGGTGCCTCCTGGCGGGCAAGTTTGTCCTTCAGCTCTTTCAGCTGGTACTCCTTCAGCTCCTTGTAGTCCAACCACCAGTTGCTCACCAGATACCACTGCTCTGTTTCTTCAGTGTATTCGAATCTGAGGCCGTCCTCCGGGAACTCTGGAATGAATTTTCTGAAGGGCAGTGACTTCAGCTGCCTGAGCTTCTCCCAGTCCTCTTTAAGCTCCAACACTCTCATCCTCCTATAGTATGCCTCAGGTGGCGCTGGCTCTACGAATTCAGCCCCTGAGGTTGTTGTCACCACCTGTCGTCCGTCCGTGGATTTAATCCTTTGGACTCTCTTTTATATTCTCTCATCTACCTTCTCAAACTCCTTCCTTAACGTTTCTCGCTTGATTGGATCTATTTTTTCACGCCTGTCCTGAACCTAAGGTTTCCAGAATTATTGTTTAATATACGAAATTTATGAATCCCGCCTTACTACTTTCAAATGCTAACAACACATTCATGTATAGGCAATCATTTTCAAAATTTCAGTGATTTTAACCCTAGATCCTCCCCCTCACAATGAAACAGAACACTACTGGGAGTGTTACGTTGTGAAAAAGAAAAGAGAAAATCACAGAACAGTACAAAATATACAGATTATTGCAAAATTGAACCATAGGAAGCAAGGATATCAGGTATTGTATCTAAATCTAGCAGAGAATAGACCTAGATTCACAGAAATCAAACATATAAACATTGTTGCAAAAATGAAAAATAGACAGTTATCGCGAAAATAATTTGTGATTCTGTGTTTTTGAACGTTAAATTAGGGAAAATCAACCGGAAAATCGAGTTTATGTACTAAGGTTAACCTAGATCTTACCTTAGATGAAGCTATTACTGGTTGAAATGTTGAGATATTGAAAAAATTTTGGCTTGGAGAGTGGCGGTTACTAAAGCGTCTGGAGGAAGTTACTGTAAGGAAAAAGTGGAAAATGACTAGTGATTAGGGTATTTATAGAATTTTCTATCGCTCGTCTGGAGGGCAAGCGAAGCGCTGCCTAGTCCACTGTAATTACTTATAAAGGTATAAGGGAGGGTTTTCAGGGCGGGTCAGCGAGTAAAGCAATACTTCTATTTACTTAAGAGTGACACTCAACCGGTGATGGAAGCGGTACTGGGTGAGCGATACTGCTCCCCCAGTGAATATCAGGGTGAGACAAGCGAAGCGATGGATGGCTTGGGTCAGGCTCAGGTTAGAAGTTAAAATGCTAACATCAAACTACTCCTATAAAGCGATAATCCTATTCTAATGAAAGCAATAACAAAACTGTAAACCTAAACTACGAAAGCGGTAAGACTTATAAAATCTATCTATGAAAGCAATAAAGAAAACTTGTAAATTTTAACTATGAAAGCGGTAAATTCTAACTAGGAAAGCTTTAAAAGAAAGCTGTAAAATTGGCAGATATAAGATTAAGCTTCTGGATCTTCTTCACGAAATTCTATCATCGAACAAGCTTCTGAACCTCCATCAGATTAACATCTGCACTGGCCTGCTGCAATACAGGCCCTTCAATATAGGGTTTCAGTCTCGCTCCATTGACCAGGAAGGAGTTTCTTTCTCCTAGGGTTTCCAAATTATTGATCCTTATGACTCCACTTGGCAGCACTTGCCTGACGATATACGGCCCAGTCCACCGTGACTTCAATTTCCCTGGGAATAAGTGGAGCCTAGTGTCGTATAGAAGAACCTTGGATCCCACAGTGAATTCCTTCTTCTTCAACTTCTTGTCATGATAGAATTTCATCATTTCCTTGTAGAGTTTAGCACTTTCATATGCAAGGTAACAGAACTCAATCAGATCTAGCAATCTTTTGGCGCGCTTCTCCTGTGCTGGGAGAAGATCAAAGTTGAGATGCTTGATGGCCCAAACGCGCGATGCTCGAGTTCCAAAGGTAGGTGGCAGGCTTTTCCATATACAAGCCGATAAGGGGACATTCCAATTGGAGTTTTGAAGGCTGTTCTACATGCCCACAACACATCATCCAATTTCTCTGCCGAATTCTTGCGACTTTTATTTACTGTGGTCTGGAGGATGTGTTTGATTTCTCTATTTGAAACTTCCACCTGACCGCTCGCTTGTGGATGATAGGGAGTAGTCAGATGCTGGCGGACACCATATTGTTGAAGGCAATATTGCAGCGCCTTATTCACAAAGTGGGTGCCTTCATCGCTTATTATCGTTCTGGGGACCTCAAACCTCGGGAATATGGTATATTTTAGGAAGCGGATCACAGATCGAGTATCATTAGTGGTGAGCGCTTGTGCTTCAACCCACTTGCTCACGTAATCCACCGCCACCAGAATGTATAATTTCCCATTAGAAGGCGGAAAGGGACCCATAAAGTCTATCCCCCATACATCAAATATGTCCACAAACAAGACTCCAGTTTGGGGCATCTCATCTTTCTTCGAGATAGATCCCAATCTTTGACACTTATTGCAAGATTTGGCAAAGACATCAGCATCTTTTTGTAGGGTAGGCCAAAACAAGCCTGACTGCTAAACTTTAGCTGTTGTGCGCAAGCCAGTGAAATGCCCTCCTACATGGGACCCATGACATTCATTCAAGATCAGCGGGATCCTAGATTCCGCTACACAGCGACGGATTATCCTATCTGTGCCGATGTTAAACAAATAGGGTTTATCCCAAAAATAGTCCTTTGCCAAACTGAGCAATCTCTTCTTTTCCTGTGTACAGTATGTGCTGTAAATTGTCCTGTAGTTAGGAAATTGGCCAGGTCCACAAACCATGGCTCCTTCGCTTGCACCAGGAACAGCTTCTCATCTGAGAATTGTTTGTTGATTCCTGGAGATATGTCCTCTTCTTGCCTTAACCTACTGAGGTGATCTGCCACATGATTCTCCTTCCCCTTCTTATCCTTGATCTCTATGTCAAATTCTTGGAGTAACAGAACCAATATAATCAAGCGGGCCTTTGTCTCCTTCTTCTCCATCAAATACTTAATAGTTGCATGGTCAGTGTGAACAATGGTCTTGCTTCCGATAAGATACTGTCTGAATTTTTCGAAAGCGGAGACAATAGCTAGCAGCTCCTTCTTGGTTGTAGTGTAATTCTTCTGAGCGGAATCCAGTTATTTACTTGCATAATAGATGACATTCAACTTGGATTCTACCTGTTGTCCTAGCACAATGCCGACGGCATAGTCGCTCGCATCCATCATCAGCTCGAATGGCTCACTCCACACTGGTGCTGAAATTATCGAAGCGGAGGTCAGCTTCTCCTTCAACACGCGGAAAGCCTACTCACACTCGCTTGACCAGTGAATTTAAGAATCCTTACACAACAGTGCTGTAAGTGGTTGCGTGATTTGATTAAAGCCCTTGATGAAACAGCGGTAGAATCCCGCGTGTCCAAGGAAACTTCGCACTCCTTTCTCATTCGAGGGCGCTGGCATCTTTTTTATTACACTAACTTTTGATCTATCCACCTCTATACCGGTATATGAGATCTTATGGCCTAAGACAATTCCTTCATTTACCATGAGATGACACTTCTCCCAGTTCAGCACGAGATCAGTTTCAATGCAGCGGAGAAGTACTTTTTCCAGATTGTTCAGGCATCTGGAAAATGTCTTACCATATACCGAGAAGTCATCCATGAAAACTTCAATACAGGAGTCCAGGAGATCGCTGAAGATATGGCACATACATCGCTGGAAGGTGGCCGGAGCGTTGCAGAGCCCGAACGGCATCCTTCTGTAAGCGAAGGTCCCATATGGACAAGTAAATGTGGTCTTCTCAGAGTCCTCCGGTTTGATGGGAATTTGATGGTAGCCTGAGTAGCCATCGAGGAAACAGTAATATTCGTGACCTGCGAGCTTCTCAAGGCATTGATCAAGGAAGGGAAGCGGGAAATGGTCCTTCTTCGTGGCGGAATTCAATCTTCTGTAGTCGATGCAGACCCTCCATCCAGTGACAGGTCTTGTCATGAAGACCTTCCCTTCGTCGCTTGTCTGTTCGACAAAACCTCTTTTCTTGGGGACTACCTGGGTTGGGCTGACCCACTGGCTGTCACTGATAGGGTATATAATTCATGCATCAAACAGTTTGATCACCTCCTTCTTTACTACCTCTTGCATATTTTCATTAAGTCGCCGCTGAGGCTGTCTGCATGGTTTAGCGTCAGCGTCCAGCCTAATATGGTGTATGCACACCGCTGGGCTGATTCCTTTGATGTCTGTGATCTTCCATGCAAATGCCGCTTGTCTTCTTTTGAGCAATGAGACGAGCTGAGCCTCTTGGTCCGGCAATAGTGAGGCGGAGATTATCAGCGGGTAACTCTCCTCCGGGCCAAGAAATATGTATTTGAGGTGCTCAGGTAATTTCTTCAACTCGTCCTTTATGTTGGTGTCGCTGGCTGGTTCCCTGTTAGCTCGTTCGATGAATTCAGTGAGCGCTGGTGTCTCCTCACTTGCCTCAACTGAATTTTCTTCATCTTCCAGCTCAAACAACCCGTTATCTGAAATTCCTTCCAGATTTTCAAGTGTAATAAAGTTCTCAAAAGTTGATATTTCATTTAACGCATTGATAAAATCACAGTTTTCTTCCTGAGGTTGACGCAATGCTGAGTTCATGGAAATGTGACTTTATCTTCACCGAAGCTTAATGCGATTTCGCCTTCAGCGACATTTATCGTAGCTTGAGCGGTGGCAAGGAAAGGTCTCCCTAAAATTATTGGAATTTTGCGATCTTCGCTCAATTCTATTATGATGAATCTGCAGGGAAAATAAATTTTTTTACTTGCACGAGTACATCGCGAATGATTCCTTTAGGTAATCTTATTGATTTATCGGCAAGCTGAATTACAGTTCTGCATACTTCTAATTCATAAAGCCCTAATTTAGAGAAAAGCGAAAAGGGCATAAGATTGATACTTGCGCCTAGATCACATAATGCCCAAATCGGCTCTAAATTTCCTATGGTACAAATAATAATAAAACTCCCAAGATCGCTGAGTTTCTTTGGGAGGTCCTCCTTAAATACGGCGCTGCACACACTCTCCAGTTGCACCGCTGCCGCTTCATCAGGGAATGCCCGCTTTCGGTTGATTATATCTTTGATAAACTTAGCGTAATGTGGCATCTGTGACAAAGCATCAGCAAACGGTATAGTAATTTGAAGACTACAAAAAGTGTGCACAAACTTATCAAATTCCTTGGAGTTGTCCTTCTTCCCAAGTCGTGTGGGAAAGGGGACTCGAGCCAAGGGCTGAGCGGAACCCTTTTCCTTCGGTTCAGGCACCCGAGCGGCTGGTATCGTTCGAGGTTGGGATGGACCTTCTTCCTCAGATGGAATCTGTATAACTTCATCTTGCACAGGCACGTTAGCAACAATAGGGTTAGGAGAATGATTAATACCTTTGTCTGGCAGCGGTGGTGATTGTGCTTCCCTCCCCTTGTTTCGATGGCATTTTCTTGGTTCGGGACAGTCTCGACTATCCCAAGCAACATTCCTTTTTGCTTTAGCTTCATAGCTTCAGCTATCTGCCCGATTTGAATCTCCAGCATTTTGATCGAGGCAGAAGTATTTCTTTGGAACTCCTAATTTGCGCGCTCTGTGTTCATCCAGAGTTCCTCCAGACTCAGCGGTGCTTGGGCCGCTGTGGGAGGTTGGGCAAATGCAGGTGCCTGCTGCGGAAAGTGGGGGGCATGAAAGTATTGTTGTTGTGGATGATATCCCCCTTGATGATATTGTTGTGCAGCGAACTGTTGTGGCCTCTGAAATTGTTGCTGAGGATGCAGTCCAGCGGGGCCTTGAGCTTGCCCCTTTTGGAACTGCTGGAATTGATGGGCATTTCTGCCAGCCGTATAGTAGACCTCCGCTGCGTTCTGAGCCTCTTCAGTTGAGCACTCAGCAACCTGCAGGCCTTGATGGTCTACATAAGCACTTTTCTCACATTCCGCGGCCTCATGCAGCACTTGTTTTCCTTTGTTACGCAGGTCCTGCTTCATGAGCTTAGACAACTCCTTGACTTGGATCGACAGACTGTCGATCCTTGCATCGTGAGAAACGGAAGCAGAAACCTGGTATAGACCCCTCGATGGCTAAGGCCTGTTGGACTCTGGCCAACTTGACTGATTGGTCGCCATCTTCTCTATTAAAGCCCTCGCTTCTGAGGCACAGCGCCCCATCAGCGAGCTTCCTGCCGCTGCATCCAAGGACATCCTTAGTTCATGAGTGATTCCTGAGTAGAAATTTTGTAGCTCCATGAAGTCCGGAATTTCGTGATGAGGGCAGTTGCGGAGCAATTGTTTGAACCGGCTCTAGGCTTTGGGAAGGGTCTCATCACTCGCCATCTTGAAAGTGAGTATTTCATTCCTCTGGCGAATGGTCTTCGATACAGGATGGTATTTACTCACAAAGGCCTGCGCTGCTTCCTTGAATGAGCCAGGAATGTGATACAGGTTATCGAACCACTTCCTGGCTTCTCCAGATAAAGAGAATGGAAAGTATCAGTTTTGCAGCGTCCTCCGTGATTCCATGAGATTTGGAGGTGGTAGCGATCCTGTTGAAGTTCTGTACATGCTCATAAGGGCTTTCGTTAAGCAGCCCATGGAATTGGCTCTGGCTCGCCAGGCTGATGAGCGCTGGTTTCACCTCACAATGGCCAGAGCCCCTGGGCGCAGAACTTGTAATTAATGTATGATCCAGAAGGGACTACTAGTGAATGTCCATGGGGACTTCAGCAAACGGGCGATCAGCAGCCCTGTGTCCCTTAACCCTCTGGTAAGGCTCAGCAGTAGGTGGTGGAGGAGTGATGGTAGCGGGTATCGCAGCGGTGTTGGCAGCTTGAGCCGCTTGGGAAGCGATAAACGCCCCATGCGCAGCCTGGGCTTTCTCCACCTGAGCGAGGTGCGCTTGCAGCCCCACCATTCCCTGTTGAATGCTACTGAGAGCTCTCATTAGTTGCTCCTCAGTCGGTGTGAGCGCATGGGGAACGAGAGTGGGAACCACAATGGGGATGTGGAGCGGCACCTCCTGCGAGGATGCAGATGTGGTGGAATTTGAAGATGTCCCAGCGGCAGTCTGGAAAGCTGGGATGACAGTAGAAGGAGCGGTGGCATTTCCTTGGTTCGCCATAAGTTGTTCTCGCACTTGCTCTCTGAACAGACATCTCTGTGATCGAGCGGAAAGAGTAGGACTTGTGGGACGCTGAAAACGCTTCGGACCCCTACATAATGACAACCACACCATTGTAAAGGTTAGTAAAATTAGTAAAAATATAAAAATCACAAAAGAATTAAGAGTAAATTATGGCGCTTAAAAAGATCCTCAACCAAAATACTTTTCATGAGTTTAAAATCCCCGGCAACAGCGCCAAATTATGATAACATCTATTTGTATTATTTAATCTTGTCAAATCACAGGGAATTTATATTCGAAAATCAGTGAGTGGAAGTTTATAGGATCAGATATAGTAATTTTTGTGGTTGTAGACCCTGAGTAGTTATCACAATTATTTATACTCTTTTTACTGGTGAGTTTCCAGGTCGAACACAAAGATTTTAAGTCATGAATTTCAAAGGCACATTATATGTATATATATAGATGAACGACAGAGAGTGAAGGAGAGGTGTTGTGTCCGAATTGTGGGTTACTAAATGGATAGATTTCCCTGGATGTAATGAGCGAGCGCTGTAAGTGTGCTATCGGAAATATATGTATTTTACGGAAGTGGTGAAAAGGGGATAATATAATTATATAAAGTGAATATAAAGAATTTATAACACTGGAATTTTGACCTTAAGGGATTTACAACAAGACTTCAATGACACCCAGAATCGAGACATTATAAGAAAGAAACCCTACTATCACTAGGAATCTCTGTGACCTAATAGACCACCGCCTATGCCCCATTAATTTTCCCAATATCTGCCTTATTAGTGGCTTTACCTTTTTGTTACCTCTTTTTAATCAAAATTGAATTCGGAACAGTAGTTAAGCAGGACGACAAGGCTCCCACGTACTCAACTACATTGAACTACCTTGAGACCGTTTTTGGCGCATAACAAGGCTCAAATAATCAATTCTTCTCTTGCTTTAAACCAGTGAAATGAAATTCTCTAAATTCAAACTTTATATAAGTGTGTAATAAGTTGGAAGAAATAAGAATGAAGAACTGAATGATATTTCATTATCTACTACGAAAGCAGGAAAAGACTAGAGCTACAAAGTTGTAAACGAAAGCAGTAATCTAATCTAAGGAAGTTGTAAAGACTTGGCCAAGAGAGAAGGGAAACCCCTACTCCCTTGGCCATTCCTGTGGAGACTCCCTTACAGGGTTGGAGCTCTCGAAGACAGGAAGACTTGCTTGAGAAAAGTAGTTGCTAAGATTATTCTAAATCGAAGTATCAATCCTTCTTCGTAAAGATATCTGGCCCTATTTATAGCAGGTGGAATGGGGCGGTTGCAATCGGTTGCTGGGCGGTTCCAACCGCTGGGTAGTTAGGCGGTTACTGGTAGTTATTTTGTTGAAGCAATTGCTGGCCATAACTCCCAGGGCGCTTGCTTTGATTGCATCGAACTGTAAGGGCTCAGATCTTCCTCGCTTGCCGGGGAGCTGGAGGGCATCAGCGCTGCAGCGGTGGGCGTCTGGGTTGTCGCTTGCAAGCGGGAGAGGCTGTCGCTTACGGGTGGTGAAGGCTGCCGCTTGCCTCTCATGCCTTAGTATTTTTCAGGAAGTATTCTGGGCGCTTGCGAGCGAAGGTGGCTGTCGCTTGTGGCATCTGCCTTAGCTTTTCTGGCACCAGACTACCGCTTAAAAAGGGCAAAAATCGTTAATAATCTCAAAAACGAATTTTGGATCATGCCAAGCGATATAGATCAATAATGTATGCCATTAATGAGTCATTGTGATGGTTTTTATACATAAATTCAAGTAATACACAGTTTCGTCAAGCTAAGAATATACTCATATTTGGAGTCATCAGTAACATAAATAACCAAAGAATTTGAGAAATTGGAACTCTGGTTTACGGTTATGCAAAACCTCAAAAGATCATTTTCCATCTAGCTGCAATAAGGGGGTTCTATTGATCAGATGAGCATCTATGAGTACACAGTCAGAACATTAGATGATAGGGCACGCACTTTGGAAAAAGAGAGTTCTAGCGACATTGAGAAGATGTCGATGCTTACTATTATAATGAAATATTATTCTTTTTCAAGGAAAAGAATGTTACTAGGGATATGAAAAAGTGTATAGATAAGGTAAAGTCCATGGGCAAGAAAAATAAAATAAAAAAATGTCCATGAACAAAAGAAAAAATATATTTTTCAAGAAATTAAATGGATAACCGTGGAAAAGTCAAGGTTGATATTTGAGTGTACAAAAAAATATTTACGTGGACATAAACATAGAGGTGAACAAAACCCCGGAAACTACTTGAAGATTTTGGCGACCAGAAAGAAGGAAAACTTGCGGAAGATTGATTTTGGCTGCAAATTAACGGCTGAAAATCTGATATGATATCGAATTTTTTTATCTTGATTATGATATCTTGGATTTTTGTTTACAAAATATCAAAATTTGTTACAAGATTTCAAGATTATCCAATAGTATGGATATTATGATAAATTTCCAGATTTGGATTTAATTAGAAAATAAATAATAATTATTATATTTATATTGTTTTCCTCTACAAAAGGGTTGTGTCCCTTCATATTTCTAATAGGTTAAAACGGTGTGTCTATTGGTAAACACTGTTTACATTCTATAAGTATGATATATTGTAATCATTGTAAGACAGATTCATACATCTCAATATAAAGTTAAACTCCCTCCGTCCCAGCAAGGATGACCCATTTGGTTATGAACACGGTATTTTAGGTAGTGTAGATTAATAAGTTATGATATTATTTTTTATATGAGTGGTGTCATTGGTATTTTATATATTTTTAGGATTTTATTTCTATAAAATATATGCAATATGAATATCATTTGTTAGATAAATTTTTTTTATATATAATACAAATAAATTAAAAGATATATTCATTTATTTATAATTAATTTAAAACTAATTTTATAAAAAATTAGAAGTTTTAAATATAGATAAAAATCTTTTTTATTGAGAAAGGAGATAGAAACATAGGGGTTTGGAGTAGAACCTACGTCTAAGAAGTTAGAGATTTAATTAAATTGATTTATATTTGTTACGTGTGTTTAAGATGAATAAGTTTACTAAAAATAGAAAGAGGTTATCTTTAATGAGATAGACAAAAAAGAAAAATGGGTCATATGTGGCGGAATGGAAGGAGTATTTCTTTTTCGTTCTTGCAAGTTATTTAATTTCCGCATCTCTTTCTACTTCTTCCTAATTTCTTTACTATCAAATGTTTGGACACTGTGTTTGGTACGAAGTAAGGATTTAATCGAACTAATTCCTCCAAGAAGAAGCCCTTGGTTATCATCCGATTGGAAAATTTTGACCCATTGTAACATTCGTTTATCGTGAAAACATACCATGTGTTAGGTGTTTGCTGATCCTAGTTCTGAGTTTCTAGAATATTATTTATCATATGGCTGGAAAAGATTCACACATATGACTGAGGGGGGCTTATGTTATCATGAAAAAATATTCTTTTTCAAGGAAAAGAATGTTATCATAGATATGGCAAAGTTCACGGACAAGAATATTTTTATATATGTAACCATGGACAATGTGAAAACCATGGATAAAGGTAAAGTCCATGGACAAGAAAAATAAAATAAAAATAATATCTATGGACAAAAAAAATATATATTTTTCAAGAAATTAAATGGGTAACCGTGGAAAAGTTAAGGTTGGTATTTGCGTGTATAAAAAAACATGTACGTGGACAAAAACATATAGGAGAACCAAACCGCGGAGAGTACTTGAAGATTGTGGTGGCGAAACAAAAAAGAAGGAAAAATGCAAAAGATTGATTTTGACTGCGAATAAACGGTTGAAAATCTGATATGGTATCGGATTTTTTTATCTTGATTATGATATCTTGGATTTTTGTTAACAAAATATCAAAACATGTTACAAGATTTCAAGATTATCCCGTAGTCTCCATACTACTGGATAATCTTGAAATCTTGTAACAAAAGGGTTAGAACGGTGTGTCCATTGGTAAACACCGTTTAGATTCTATAAGTATGATATATTCTAATCATTGTAAGATAGATTCATATATCTCAATACAAAGTTATATTTCTTTTCTGTTCTTGCAATTTATTTAATTTTCGCATCTCTTTCTACTTCTTCCTAATTTCTTTACTATCAAACGTTTGGACACTGTGTTTGGTAAGAAATAAGGATTCAATCGAACTAATTCCTCCAGGAAGAAACCTTTGATTATCATCTGGTTGGAAAATTTTCAACCCACGGTAACACTTATGCTCAACAACACCATTTTGTTAAGGTGTAAAGGCACATGAAGTTTGACGTATGACTCTTAATGATTGGAAAAGACTAGGTATAAAGGAATTGACAAACTCAAATCCATTGTTACTTTCAAAGATCTTGATACATTTCCTAAACCGATTTTTTACTAAAGCAAGAAAATTCTTTATTGACTCATAAACTCCATATTTATTATTGTTGCTAGTTTTGGGGCCAATAGTTACAAAGCATAAAAACCCAGACACCATGGGAAAAATCATCTACAAGAGTAAGAAAGTATTTAAACCGTTCCCTACACTGAACTCTATAAGTACCCCAAAGATCATCATGTACGATACCCAAAGATATGTTGGGATTTATGACACCTAGAAGATGAGGCTCTCTAGTTTGTTTAGCTTTGTAGCATATGTCACAAAGAAGGTCATTAAGGGATGACAGATTATGCTTAGTTTTCAAATGCTTAAGAGCTTCATTGGATGGATGACCTAACTTTGAGTGCCATAAGGTATAGGAGCACAAAGTTGAACACTAAAAATAGAGTGACTGGAAGTTTCAACTTCAAATGACTGAAATTTACATAGGCCATTACTTTTCTCACTTATCGCTAGAACATTTCAATTTGAAGAATTTTGAATAACACAAGTGTCCTTGAGAAAAATCACATTAAGACTACCTAGAGATGTGAGTTTTGCTATAGATATGAGGTTTAGACTAAAATCAGGAACAATCAAAACATCCTCAAGGACAATATTAGGAGTTAAAGAAACTTTCCCACACTCACGCACAAAAACACAATCACTAGTTGGAAGGTTTACGATTAAATGTCCACTTGGGACTGTGTGAACATCAAATACACGACTACAGTTAGACACCATGTGATATGTGGCTCCTAGATCAATTATCCAACCAGCATAGTCACTGGCATTGCAAGAAATTGCAAAGGACACACCTGTCATATTATGAGAAACATCATTTTTTCCTTTCTTGTCATTTAGAAGCTCAATGAGTTGATCACATATTTCAAGAGTTAAAGTCAAACTTAAAGAGTTTTCAGACGCAAACCGAGTATGATTTGTACAAGGTAGAACAATAAAGTTATTGGCATAGTGGATAGGGCTACAACCTTTAGTCGTATAAAACTCACGCTTAACATTTAGACCTCTATGGGTAACCTATTAGCTTAAAACATCTCTTCATAAGATGATCAAAACCACCATAGTAACTACATTTAAAGGTTTAGATCTCTAGCTCTAGTTTTGGACACCTTTTTTAATATAAATATATTAGAATAATTCCTACCTATATTCTTATAGGAATAAAACAGCTATTATAGATGAGAGAACTCACAAGGGGAAAGCAGAACACACAACGACAAATAGAGGTCAACTACTAGTGCACTTGATGGACCAACCAGTTACATGGAAGTCAATATATGCTATACATACCACATAATAGACGAAAGCCAAAAAACAAAGAAGCAAACCGAGAAAAGCTTTAAACTCCATAGCGCTTTGAGATTCAGAAGTAAGACTACAGACAGAAAAAGATCGGCTTTGATACCATGTTAACAAATTAAATCCAAGCTAACACACAACTCTTATGAGAAGTGAGAGACACCTACACTCCGAATCTCATTTATAGAGTAACAGTACGGTGTACAGAGGTGGCGTTTGTTACAGATTTTACATCATGATCTCAAAGGATCAGGCAAGCATATTAATCAACACATGAATCAACTATCAAAGGAAAGCACTGTGTTCACAAAGGAACACAAAGAACATTTAATTATCAAAAGCAAAACCTATCGAATACAGTAAATGAGCAAAACAACCAGATATCTAGCAATCTAGTAGCGCAGATTGCATTTTGTGCTTTGCTGTATCCTCATACACCAGAACCACGTAACTAACCATCAAGTCACACTATGTAGAGCAAAGAACCTACATAGGAGAACCAAGTAAAAGAAACTAAACAATAATAAGACGAATGAGGAGGTAATACTGAAGTGAAGGAAAATCTATACGAAGATCAATTAAAGTACGAACGTAGGCGTAGATGGAATGGAGTGATTCAAATAGTCGCAAAAGTATTTTAGTGCTTTGTGTGTGAGTGATTGTCTATGTATGAAGGTGAAAGCTGTAGCGATTAATGCTCTGTGAGTGGTGGCAAATGTGTATGAGTGAAGTCGCCGACAACGGTTAATTAGGACTTAATCATTTGACTGAAAAATAATTGGATAAAGTATACGTGGTAACTATATATAATGTATATATATATGCGGGCAAACCCACAAAAAAAATGATTGGGCCAGACTCAAGAGTAAACCAGATACCAAATACATCTTTTAACATAATTAGACTTGGAGTTTTGAGAATTTTAAAATTTTAGAATAATACTACCTTTGTTCCGCAAAAAGAATAATATTTATTTTTTGCACGTAGATCTTTTAATATTAGTATTATATTGGTTTATAGTAAAAAAGATAAAACTGCCCCTATTAGATTGTGTGATAAAAAAGTAATATCATTTGTGTAATATATTAAAAATGTAAAAATATTAATTATATTAGGTAGATAATATAATTAGTAAATTAGACAATAATATTTTTTTTAGACAGACAAAAATAAAAAATATTATCCTTGTTAGGACGAATAGAGTATATAATTTAAAATTTAAAATTTAAAATCAAAATGATCGGACTTGTTGTCATGTGATCCGATATGTGATGTGGGGCAAGCAACCCAAAACCAAATTATCTAATTATTACTTTTCTTGCTTTATTAAAATAATTACTTATTACTCACAAAGACTGCTCCCTGCAGAATGATTGAATCATCATCATCATTCCACCAACACAACAAAATGCATACACATCTCCTCTACGTATTATATAGCATATCTATATACAACCCCTAGATAAAGAAAAAAGAAAAAAGAAAAAAGAAAAGAAAAGAAAAAAAAAAAAGAATGTATCGTTAGCAGAGACCAGGCAGGCAGGCAGGCAGCAGCTTTGTACATATAGTGAATATCCATCCATCCATCCGGGACATCAGCATCTAGTCATCCCTTCTCGATCTGCTTTTATAATTATAATTTAATAATATATATATATATATATATTATATAGCTTGTGAGGTGAGGTTAGTGCGCCGGGAAGAAGAGCGGCGCGGAGTCTCTGTGAAGTTTGCCGTCAGCGACCCTGACTCTGCCCATCTTGTTTTCGCACCAGTGGAGCTGCTCACCGTTGATCTCCGCCATTCTCAGCACTCTCGACACCACTTTCAGGTCAATCATCGCCATCAGAATCTCCAGCTCCTCCTCCGCCCTCAGCCGCCGCCGCCGCCTCATCCGCAGCTGACAACACTTCCCCGACCGCCGGATCTCCTTCAACTTGGCTTTTTTCTAAATTTGCATATTACTCCATTTAAGTAATCATATATATTTATGGATATAAATTATTGGCATCGTGTACCTACGTACCTTCTTGTTTACTTTCTTCAGTAAGCACAGCAGAGTCCCGTCGGCGGTGCCGCGGCGGCGCCGGAGGAAGAAGTCGGCCAACATCTCGCACCGGCTCTTCTTGTCCTGTTTGAGGAAGCTCATGAACGTCCGAATTGACTCCTCCATTATTACCAGAAACGAACTCGACGGAATTCTCGTGCTCCTGCTCGTGCTCTGCCCCTCCTCCTCCTCCTCTTCACAGTCTAATCAATTCATTTTCAAAATTGAGAAAAAAAAAAAAAAAAAAAAAAAGACAGTCAGGAAGGCAGGATTCAATTCCTTATCCGTTAAGAAAAAGAAAAACCTCAATCGATTCGGAAACAACGTGGTACCTCGATATTCGGGCACCTGAAGCAACTTGGGCGCGAGGCTCCGCATCCGGGCGTAGATTTCGGGCCTTCTGCCATTCTCGTAGGGCTCGTTCTCGACGTACCTCTGTAAGAGAACCTGGAACTGCTGAAATTGCTGCGCCACGCATGCCGGACACCCTGGATCGAACTCGCGACGCGACGCCCGGAGCCGCTGGAAGTACTTGAGGTTCCAGTTTAAGGCTTCCCACGTCAGACAGATCTGCGCCACGTAAGCGGACTCCAATTCGTGGTACGGATTCTGTCGGAATTCCATCGACGACGTTGATCTTCTGCTCCTCGTTCTCAGCTTCTGCACTATTCTCTCCGACAACGACCTCGGATACATTTCTATGGATTTCAGCGACTCTGCGTTGCAACATGGATAATCATTAATTTAATTATAGCTAAATGGTACAAAATCTATCAGTTTTATAAAATTACGTGTGAAATCTCTTGTACTTCTAAAATTGGTGCTAAACTTGTAGTGGTTTTCATCTATGTCTAACCCCTGGTCCATCTCATTTAACCTAAATGCCCTGCTAATAAATTTTAGAATTTTCATTTATAATTGTAATTTTTAGGAATTTAGAAATTGATATTCTAAAATTTATTTAGAGCTTGAACACATTTAGATCAAATACCGCTAAGAGTTAAAAGCATAATTTGTGAAATAACGAGTAGTTCTAAAAGTACAAGAATTTGGTCCAATTTTATAAAATCACATGTGAATTTAGTGAATTTAGCCTTTTAAGTATTTTAGAATTAGAATCTAGAATGATGTAATTGTAAATTGTAAAAATTAGGTACCAGTTTCGTGGAGTTTCTGGGCGGTGATTCTGTCGAAGAAGAGCATTTCTTCGTCGTACTTGTGGAAGACAGCGTAGGATTCCCATTTGGGGCAGGTGCTGCGTCGCGAAGACGATGAGAAGGGGTCGTCCGTGGCGGAATCTTTTATGGAGCTGCTTCGCCATTCCGAGGAATCTTTCGAGGTCGATCCGACGGTGAAGGTATCGCCGTAGATCTCCTCATCGTCTTCTAATTTGCGGCTATGGCTAATGATCTCGTGCACCAGCTTTTTGCCTTGGGATTTCGAGGGTTGGAATACCAGGAACTCTGAATCTGATCATCATATCATGCAAGATTTATTCATTTTGTAATTATTAAAATGATTTAATGCCATGTTGTATGTAATGATGAACCAAATTATTGGGACAGATTTCAGACCTTCTTCTTCGCCGCCACGTCTTGTCGTCGCGGCGGCGCTGAATGATCTTGTCCTCGTGGGGTCGTCGGGATCTGATGACGTGTCAGTATCCTCCACAAGAATCTTCTCCTCCTCGTCATATTCGGTGGCTGCCGGCGTGCTATAACCGGAAGTTTCACTGGCGCCGGAGCTTTCTTCTTCACTCGGAGGAGACTCGTAAGGATCTCTTAGGACCGAATTATTATATCCATAATTATTCCCGACATACACATCCGGCGGCGCCGCCACCCCTAATTTCTCCTCCACCGCCTTGGAGCCGCCGTACACGTCCTCCTCCTCCTCCGCCTCCTCCTCGTCGGAGAACGCCCCGAATTCGCACCCTTCTTGATTCCTGCAAAAGAATCAAATCAAATGCAATACATACATACATACATACATATATATATATATTATTACCGTTGGTAGAAGGGGTTGCCGCCGAAAAAGATGAAGAGATTGGCGAGGAATATGGAGGTGAAGTGGAAGAAGAGGAGGAGGAGGAAGAAGGAGGAGGAGACATTGTAGAAAAGCCTAGCAAATGTTTGTTTGGGACATTGCAGCATTTTCTAATTTCTTTCTCCTTTCTCTGCTGTCCGAATAAAATGAAGAGAGAGAGAGAGAGAGAGAGAGAGAGAGAGAGTGTGAAAGAGATGGATCATGCAGTTGAGTTGAGCTAGCTCGGATTTCCACTCAACTCATCCAATGTTAAAAGTCAGGACCTTTAATTTTTCGCTTGCTTTGCTTTGCTTTGGGAGCCTTACTTAGCTTTATTCGAAATGACGGATATGCCCCTCCCTGTCTTCTTATCACCTTCCTCCTCCTTTAAGTAATTCGTCGCCCGACGTCTCAGCTCCGACCGCCGGAACTGATTCTTTGCCCTCATTCAGCAACCTACACCCGCCAACTTAAAACACTATATGTATATACAAACATATATATTTAGGGGTTCCATCATTTTGTATGTAATTTTTTTTTTTTTATAAGGATAATGTAGTTTAAATCGGTGTAAATTAGTAAGTTATTAATAATAAATTATTAAAGTATTAATTTATTATTTTTTATATAATTAATATTATTAATATTTTAAATATTTTTAGTATTATATTATAATAAAATATATATATAATAATGAATATTATTTTATAGAAAATAAAATTTTATTTAATAAGAATAAAAAAATATTTATAATTAACTTAAAAATAATTTAATAAAAAATAAGAATTTTTAAATATAAATAAAAATATTTTTTATTGAAAAATATAGAAATAATAGAGTTTTAAGTGGATCGTATGTGGAAGAGATTAGAAATTTAATTAAATTAATCTATATTCACACTATCCCATATCTATTAATATTACATTTAGATGTAATATAAATAAATGGATTGTACAATTACAGACTAAAATAAAAAAATTGATAGATTGTTAAAAGACGGATATGATATTTGTTAAATATATTTAAAATAAATAAATTTACTAAAAATATAAATAGATCATCTCTTATAAAAATGAGAAAAAAAATAAAAAAGAAAAAAATGTGTGGGGAACGAATGGAGTAATATTTTGTATACAATGGTTAATGTGTAATAATATACTCCCATCTTCCCACTTCGTAGCTTTAATTTGCTATATGGTATTTACTATAATAATAGTTTGTAATGATAATATTTTTCTTTCTAAGTAGTATTATTAATAAATTTAAAATAAAAATAGATTTAGAATATGTATTTAAATATTTTAAAAATATATCTTACATAAAATTGATGTAGTATAAATATTACTTCCTCCATCCAATTAGAAAGTATACATATTTCTATTTTTAGACGTCCAATTACAAAGTAACTATTTCATTAAATACCCTATTTTTTTCACAAATACCCCTACATTACATTACATCATTACTTTTATACTAAAAAAGTAAGAGCAAAAATGTTATTTTACTACTTTTACCTACCCACTATAATTAAAATATTATTATTCCTTAATATCTGCGCTAAAAGTAATTGTATACTTTTAGCTTGGACAGTGGGAGTATTTTATAGAAAATAATTTTTATATAATATAAATAAATAAATAAAATATAGTATTTATTTATTTATGATTAATATAATATAATTTTATAAAAGACAGAGAGTTTTAAATATAAATAAAACTATTTATTTATCGATAAGAAGAGATAGAAATAACGAGGGTGTGTTTCTTTTGATTAGTTTGCAAAAAAGTTTGGTTTGAATTTGATATTTAAATAAAGTTTGATGTGATGTTTTGTAAGAGAAAAAAAAATATATTTTTTCGAGAAACACAAAGTTCAAATAATAAAATATTGAAAGTTTAGATCAATAGGAACAAACCCTCAACGGATTTTACATGATGAATGATGTTATATGTTAGTCCCTCCGTCCCACCTATTATATCCACATTGTCATTTTAATCCAAACAGTGTACCATATACTTGAAAGTCTCTTGTTAAACCTCATACAATGGTACTGCTCCAAATACTGATGTTTGGTGATGATTGTTGAATCCGACAAAGACAACTATCATTTTATTCTTTAGACATGAATATCGTAAATTAATGCATTTACTTATTGCTTTCTAGATATGATGCCAAGAACTATATAATATGCTAGAAAAATAACATTTATATGGAGTAGTACGTATCCAATTGTTTAGAACTCTTGTTGGTTTGGTATGTAGTGTAAAATGTGATTGAATCACCATAAACCACATAATTTGTTCTTATTTGTACATCAAATCAAAAAATATTTATAATTTTATCTTCTGGATCTACTTCAAGCTCATAGGAAAAAAAAAAAAAAAAAGTCTAACAACTTATGGCTCAATTATTGCACATGCTTCTCCATGCTTCAGTTCTGATTTTTTTTTTTTTTTTTACAATTTGATTTGTCAAGTCCAACTTAAGAAATTCCATATTTTCTTTCCACCACTACTATCTTCATTATATTGTACGATAATCTAATTGGAAGCCTACTTCACTATTAATCAACACAATTGCTCTATGTGATTCATCCATATTAGATACTAGCATGTGTTTGTGGCCAGAAGGATCTAGCTCGTGACTATGGTTGTCATCAAAGTGTGTGGCCTTGTATGCGTGGGACTACAAATTATATTGAAACCTTATGACATTGATAGGATCAAATCTATGACATATAATCTCAATTTAAGAGAAGAATCAACTATGAAATCGAATAAAAAAACCGGCGGATAATTTGGAATCAATCGACGAATACTCCTCTCGAGCAAACACCTTCATGAATCCATCACCCGATACCATGTCACCTTATCTTGGACGTACACTCGGTTCTTGTTCTATGTACTATCTTTAATCTCTCAACTCGATGGAATACACTTATATCCTATGAATTATTTTTTGAATTACTTGGATCAAGCATGTACCCTATCATGTATCCTTCTTGTTGCAAAAAGACTCAATATATTGTATGCATTGTGCATCAGTTTTTATTTTTATTTTTTATTTTTTAATTTTATTCTAATGGCAAACCTCTTGTTATGTGTGTATCCTCAGTAGAATTGGAATGCCCCATCGGGTGTACTAAATTCAAGATATCTCTAATTAAATAAATTTGCATACAATGGACATTGCTTAATTAATTGTGTAAGTGAATTAACTCTAAATTTATTAGTTCAATCAAAGACTATTACACCATCTACACATATACTATGAACTCCATCATATATGGTATGCTTTACTCAACGCTGATAAATACTATCAACAATAATACTTCCTCCGTCCCAAATACCATGTCTACGTTGCCGTTTCTGTCCGTCCCACATACCATGTCACTTTCCTTTTTTGGAAAATGATTACACACACTTTAATCTCATTTTAAATTTTTTAATTTTATTTTAATTAAACTAATTAGTTATTTTAATCGTAATTTATAATTATTTATATTATAGGATAATTATTTTCACTAATACATTCTTAATTATCTACTAATTACACCCCTCCTAAAATATCGTGTCTACAGTATAGCACGTGCAGACACGGTATCTAGGACGGAGAGAGTATTGAATAATGATATTTCTAAATGCATAACATGATGTAACATCAACTTCACATGCTATGCTATTCATATATGTTTTAATATATGTAACTAAATATAATATACTTCATCCGTCACAATACAATAGTCTTATTTATCATTTTTGTCCGTCCCAAAATAATAGTCTCATTTCCATAAATAACCATATCACTATAAAACTATCATTACTTTTTTATTATTATTACACAATTGCTATGGCTTTTTACACTAATACACTCACAAGGACAAAAAAGTTTTTTACCCGTACTTTTTACCCGCTACATGCCAAATCCAACTCAAACTATAGTTTTGAGACAGAGGGAGTATAATCTATCGATATACTTGCAAGCATTTTGCACGCGCACACACCTACAAAAACTATTCAACTACGAAAAATAAGAGTTATTCTATATAATAGATATGTTATCTATTGCTGTAAATAATAGTTTATTATACAAAAAGATATTTTATACAATTTATATATGAAACTAAACCCAATAACAATAAATATCACGATTTTTGCTAATCAAATAGATTATTACCATGCTTTTCATATGAGAACTACTCCCTCCGTCCCAAATATTGTGCAACATTTCCTTTTTTATATGTCCCAAACACCCAGCAATATTTCCAAAATAGAAAATAATTAATTATACCTAATCTCTACCCCACACTTTATCCGCTCACATTATCCAAATAAAAAAATAAAATATATATTTCTCTCTCCATCATATCACATAATTTCTAAATTATTATACTTAATACTACCCACCTAAAAACCCGTGCCAAAAATAAATGTTGCACCTTGTTTGGGACGGAGGAAGTATATGTTTTCAACCATAATACGTTATGCTATTTGTAAATATAAAAAATGGTGTGACATATTATACGAACTGTTGGAAGTCGCGGAGAGGGGCGCGAAAGAGGTCCAACGCCTCCTAGTACCTTGCACAGCAGAACTGTGAAACGTTCGACGTAAACACAGCTTTACAACGTAGTTGTCTCGCGGTTATAACAGAGGTGTGTGTTCATGTACGCATCGATGGCTGAATAAGTGCAGAAAGAAAAAACAACACACCAAGTTTGTTTACCCAGTTCGGTTTTCCAACCTACGTCTGGGGGATTCCAATCCAGGAGTCTTAACTAAACCAAACACTTGGTTTACACCATATAAGACACCAAACCGAACTACCCAACCTATCTTCTACCCAAGCTCCATTTAGTTTTACAAACTCTCATGGACTGGCTGTTACTCTACCGCAACAACTCCAGCAGGCCAGCGACCAAGCTAAGAATAAGGTTGTTTACCGGATGAATATCTTCTTCGGCTTCGACTCCAAGAATCCTTCTTCTCGTCTTCAATCCTCCATGGATGAGCTCTCTCAACACTCTAACAGGTGGAGAGAATACTTCTCTAAGTTCTGGTTGCTCACCCACGAATACAAACAAACATCCATATCAAATATATACACATTACACAAAAGACAAAAGTTGACTGTGACAACTTTTGGGGCAGTGTGTTCTAGGTCATTTAATGCCATCCAGTATGAGAGGACAATACATGCAGCTTCTCCTGCACGTCCTCTGTCCAATGCATATTCATTTGTCCTATTCCATTGAG